CTGGCAACAGCAGCTGTCATTTCCACTTCAGGAATCAAGAGTAACTGAGTCATCTCCTCAAACCTCAATGACCGAATTACTGCAATGCACAAATAAAGATAATCTGCCCCGCAGAACAAGGCCATTCAGGTTATAGTTTTAAAGGCACTCTAGAGGTCACACTGTGAGATCCTTTGACCGCATTTGCCTGCTTCAATCTTGCTGCGTGTGTATCCTTCAAATGTGGCTTATACTTAAGATGCCCTACTGCTTTTCAGAAAGTAGATCCCTTTTTGTTAAAGCTAGAGAAGAAGCCTGAAAATTACAGAAAATAAATGGAAAGATCATTTTATATTATTATTATATTAATATTATTGAGAATTTTTGCATATTAGTCTGATACATTTCTCAATCTGTAGGCCTCTTTTTCCATTGGGTATGTAAAACAATATTATTTTAAATAAAGTAATAATGGCTCTGGATATCAGAAAACAATCCTTTGGTCTTCAACATCATGCAAAACTGTTAAAGGTCCTTAAATATTTATAAAATGTTTGCTGGTTTTAACACAGACTCTCAGATTGAGCACAAGTAGAATAGAAACAGCAAATCTCAAACACAGACAAGTGGAAAAGCGCTGCTGCAAGATCTGCTGTACTTCACAGTAAAATGAAAACTTGAAAGTTTATTTTAAGAAACAGATGTTAATGGTTCAAGAGTTCATTTGAAAACAATTTCTTTCAAATCTACACCTACCAGTATTAAAAAGGACAACAGTGTTAAAATAGAATATTAATGACTTTGTTGAAAACAGATTTGGAAGTTCGGCTATAATATCATCAAAAGTATCAAGTCCTTTAAAATCTTGAGTACATCCTTTTTATACAGAGCATGCTGATACATTAAAAATAAATAAAGAAAAGAAAGATTGAAAGGTGAACGTATCACCAGAAGGGGTATGTGCAAGGTGACGAAAACATTCACAATCTCCAGGCAAGCACCTGTGATTAAGGGTGCTGGTACACCTGGAAACTACAACGTTTAACAGAGATCATAAAGAAACTTCACATGTCCTGGGAGAGGAATTTTGCAAAAATTTTCCAAGATAAAACAGATATTCTACATAAGTTCAGTCAGTAAGAAACAGTCTCTTTCTGTGTATTTTGAAAATCATAGCTGGTCTCCCTGTGATACAGGGTGATGTTATGGTCTCTCCATAGCTTATTTTACTGCAACATTGCTGTGTCAGAGGCTCACAGTGCAAAACTTACATGAAGAACTTAAAGGTGAAAGGAAAGGTAACCAGCAGAGTATGAACACACTAAAAGGAGAAATACGGAGCTACTTTTGCCTCTACAGCATCACCACCCCACCGAGGGAAGAAAATGTCCCCATTTTAAGATAATGTTTCTTTGCAATAGGTATGGTACATCAGGAGAGGGAGATGTGTGCTGCACTACATTGTACTAATGAATAAAACAGTAGGGAAGAGAAAAGCATACAGTGCACTATCCACATTATTTCTGTGTGGAGTAAGCTGTATGCTTATTCCACGCTAAAAGTTTAATAACAGAAGTGAAAATACATTTAAAGTTCAAATGGCAGAAATACTTACAGAAGCACTTCATATCAGGTATTTTTCAGTGAAGCCAACAATATGCTCTGGATTCAGTTACAATTAAGTTTATTTGCCTACTCACCGAGTTTGTACCACATGTCACGGATGGCAAAACCAATTAAACGTCTCATATCTCCATATCTAAGGAAAAAAGTATGACAGGTATCTATCATTACCTATATCATCATCTTACTGCAAAATTAAAGACATAAAAGTATACATTTCTGCTTACTTGTTCTGGATTTTGTTGTATTTTGCATGGGAGAAGTTTTCTAGCTGTAGTGAATCTTGGGTAATAAAAGCCACAGCCAAATGAAAGTAGTTGTTCCACAGCTGTAAATTGAATATAAGGAAATTATAATTGTTTAGAGAAAAGCAGGAATAATATTAAACTATGCATAAAGCTGAATAATTTATTAAACCAAACAACACAACTAATGAGATTTTTTTTGTTATGCAAAGAAGTACATCATTAGTATTATGCAATTACCTGAAAAGCAAGAAAGATGAATTTTAATAACCACTACTAAACATTTGCTCTTAATAACACAGTAGCTGAATAAATTTTGCTAAAAGGTTCATATGGTAACAACATTAAACCACGAACGCCAGCAGGACTGGTGAAACACATTCTATGCCAGTGAATCTTAGCGCCTTGAAGCTAAAGGCATTCAGTGTAATTACACTGCATATGAGAACCACTTCAAAAGGCAAACACTTGTCTTCTCTTTGGTTTATAATTCAACGACAATTTGTGTGAAATTCCAATATATTTTCTTAAGAGCTCTCTACATGAAACAAGGAAAAAATACATGCCCAAATCATTGTTAGTACTGAATCGTGCACTTGAACTACAACAAAACCCCCTCTACTTCCAGTGCACAACCCTTCGTTTCTGGAAGAACTTACTTGTCCAATCAAAATGCAATACTTCTTTCACATGCTAGAGGTAGAAAGCAAAAATAGGTATTTCACTAGGAAGCCAAATTCTAGGAAATAAATACTGTTTTCAGAAGCTTCTAAGCAGTCAGCAATGGCCTAAGACGCTTTAAAAAATGTAGCTGCATCTAAAAATGTGTAGTAGGTATTCGTGAGACAGTAGAAAGGCAACAGTAAATGTATTCAGTGGTAACTTAAAAGGACGGAAACAAAACATGTAACATTATTAAAGAGCTCTTAATTGTGTATGGTGAAATACAAGCTCAGGTTGGGAACCCACAGGAAATAGCCTAGAAATAAAAGGTTTCATCAAAAACTTCTGTGAGCTCTGTTCTTTATAACCTAGAAAACTCTCTTGTGCACCAATAATCAGGAAAAATAGATACCAACACACAAAACGACATACAAAAATGCAGACATTTCCTATACTAAATAAAATTGTCAAGCGTCCTCTATAATGTGAAGAACCTGCATTTAATTTATGCCTGCCTTAGAGGCCCAATTGAAGGTCTCCTTAGCAGCCTTGCTCATTCAAAAGCACTTAGGAGGGCTGGGTCTGTCTGTCCGTATTGACATCCAGAGCGCAGTTAGCCCTGGTGCAGACACACGGACTCCAGTGGGGTTTCACTGGGGATGGCTACTAATGTTACACACTGTGCCATGCAAGGATGTGCTGAATTCACCCAAACCAATCACAGCCTTATTAAAAACTGCATTTGAATACGAGGACTAGCAAGGCAGTAAGGCAGCTTTTTTTCCCCTTACTACAAAATTAAAATTATGCTTTTATCTAATTTTTGACAGTATACTAATAGTACGTACTAATTCAGAGCCTTTTCCCCCAGTCTAAACGTTCTTCATGCCCTGAACGGCCTGTTTTCTCCCCAGTCAAAGGTTTTACAAGACTGAATTGACCAATTTAGAGTTTTCGGTCCCTTGAGAAGCTATATTTATTAATGCGCAGGAAATGTACTTTGCACATGTCAATTACAGCAGTAAAATGGAAAGTTTCTCAAATTGTTCCAGATTATGGGAGAAAAGATGAAGCCTCATTGCTATAGTTAGTGGTCTATTTATTCATTTAATAATTCCAAGTTCAATGCCACCTTTGACAGATACACACCCTAAAGACTCAATATCCTTATATGTGTCTCTGACAAAGGTGGCATTTATTTATTTATTTATAAAATACATTTCCTTTCCTCCTCAGAGTAACCTATAATGGCTGAAAAAATATCATCCTTTGGTGAAAGCATGATACATTTCAGATAGATAGTAGGTTTATTACTTCAATTCTGAAGAAAAATGGCACTTAATAGCTTCCTGCCTGCATCCATAATTGCAAACTATACGTAGTTAGCACAGCTATCAAGCCAAGCTAGCTAGAAATAACCTTTATGAACCTTTAAATAACATTGATCAGAAATGATCCATTGACTTCCAGGATGTATGACATTCTCAATATGTGCTGATATTACCTCAGAAATGTTCTCTTTCACATGCTGGAATACATTTCTCAATCACTTAAAACTAAATAATTTAGAAGAAACACCTACTTTTTACTGTTTTGTAAGCCTTTTGAGTTCAAACACTTAAACACAAATGAATAGCAACTTGTGTTTTAAATAAATTGCTAAATTGGATCAACCAGAGACAGTGACATTCAGTCACAAAGACTGCACACACATCTGCATCATGCAGCCTTAAAATTCCAAACCAACATTCATGACAATTATTCTGCATTGTCTTTATGCACATCCCACTAGAAAAATACAAATTGAGAAACAGAGGCATAAGCAGAATGTGAAGGCTACAATTCTGAGTAACTCACCAACTGATACACATTAAAATAATTAAAGTAAGCACTGTATTCTGTTTAAATGGAGTCTTAACAAATACAATTTGTAGAGTTACAACTCACTCACAAATTCCGGAAGTTACAAGCACAATATTTAGGGCTTATTCCTATGGTGTGTAGACTGCTTCATGACGGGCATAGTTTTTGCTTTGAGGTCGAAGAGAGAGTATTAAGCATCTCAAAGAATTATGAAAATCCTTTGAGACCTCTGCAGAATTTCACTGCATTGGTTACATACTTCAAAAGGATAGAACAAAGGTAGAAAAAATACAGGTTAATGAAAGTAAGTTTACAGAAGCTTTGAAGAAACACAGTTTGTTTTATTCATTTTTACTCTTTAAAGATTTTCGTGTCATAATCCCATTCTCTCGTTTTTGTCATATGCTTCTTGTTTAATGATGCAACTTAAGAAAAATACTTCTGAATAGCCTCTACTTCAGACATCTATCGTTTCTACATTGGACAACATCCCAAATCGCTGAAATAAGGTACTCCCAAATCCAGTAAAAGTTAGTTCCCTAGATGCAAAATGTTTCTGAACCAATTACTTACCATAGGTCACTCTAGGAAGACCCAGCTATATGTTGGTAGAAGGATCAAAGATGAACTTTAAGCTCGGAAGTTTGATAATTTTCAAACGCACAACACTATATGTAATGTACAAAATAGAACATTTCTAATATTGCTGGTCTACTTAATGCAGCTAGCTGCATTTTCTAATGGCTGCATTAACTTCTGCATCAGCCATCTCCTAGCGTTTCCTACAATGTTTATCACTACCATACATACATTTTTGCACAGAGTGCTGTGTATTCAGCCCTGAATATTTGTAATGCGGTCAAGATTTTGATTTTGATTTCTAACTGAAGATTTAAAAATTAAAAATAAGTTATGCAATTCTGTTTCTGATACTAAAATACATTTAATTACTGCTGAGTTATTAGAAGTGCCTGGTGCACGCAAAAAAAGATAGGAAAAACATGGGGGAAAAAGCATTTTCTTTTAAATCAGACGATGTTATAATTCAGTGTGGACTATGCCTTATAATATAATTCGTGGCAGGAATATAGATTATTAATATGAAACAGCACAGATTTAGAAATACAATCCTTTCTAATGTCCTGTAAAAATACTGCTAAGAAATAGGAAGTGCAGGAAGGAACAGGAATCAGTAGCACTGGATTTTCCAGAACACAAAGTCTATGACAAGTCATGCCAGGCCACAACAAAAGGGTTTCTATTTGTTCACTCTTCCCTGTCCCTAATATGTTGGAAGCTGCCATCTCCAGTCAGAAAGACTATAAAAAGAATGAGGCACAAAAAAGTCATTTGAGTGAATTAAGTGGCATGAAGGGTGGCACTGGCTGCTGCCTGCACTGCAGAACTGCTGTGGTCCAGCCCTGGATGGAAATCCTCACTGCGCAGAGCAAGACTGCGACAACCAAACTGACGGAGCCATGAGTTAACAGTGACAACAGAGTGAAAAATACTGTTTTGCTAGACAAAGGTAACACCCAGCTACTGACATCAGCTACTAACAGAAACAAAAACAGTAATAGGAGGTCTAAATAGGTTCTGTAAAGGTGTACACTGAAAAATTTAACTGAAATTTTGAAGTGAACCATTAAACGTTGTTATCTTCATTTTGCTCTTGATGGAAGACTGGATTATGTTGCATTCAAATATTCATTCAAGAAGAAAAATCCCATGACTTGCAATTTGAAAAAGATATTTCTGCTGATGCAAAAAGAAATAAAACCTTCTTTCTTAGTTCTGCATTCACAAAAAAAAAGGGAAACTGCTGACATTTAAGAAGTGTCTGGTAAATAGAAAGGTCATTGAAATTATTGTATCTCTATGTTAATTCACATTTGAACTTACTTTTAATTTCATAGCTACATCTCTATACCTATATGGACAGATAATATTCGGCTTCAAAATTGGAACTACTGTCAAATATTTGCTTCCTTAAAAATCCTCGTGAATCAAAAAATTGGCAAATCAACCAGCTCTTTGAATAAAACAGGAATGGGTGTATAATGACGCTTAAAGCTCTTCAGACTGTTTATGGAAAGCCACGCTATCCCCTGATTATTCACCTTTATTTAATATCCTGGGGGCTACCCTTAAGGTACACGTCATGTTTTGTCTTGAAACATCGAAGTTTTCAAGTTAATTTTTTGATTGAGTAAGATGGTACAATTACCACAAAAGGTAAAAGAAAAGTACTGAAAAGTCCCAGAATTGACCTATTTACCACAAATGAACTAAACTTCACTCATTTATTGGCGATACCATAAATGTATACAATGTACAAATACAGAACCACACAAAGCTTTTGTTACAATTAAACCCAAGAAGCCAGGGTGACTTTCAGGGAACATCTTTTTCCAAAATATAGTCTACAATTTTAAATACTTTTGTTTGTTTGATAAGTCTCTTCTGAAGAACCCATCTCAACTCGCACATCTCAAATCCAGAATTTACATGTTTTTATGGTACGTCTGTTCTGCTATCCTGGAGAAGCACGGCTGCA